ATTGGACCGACTGTTTTTACTTTGAAATGACTTTACAATGGTTTGCAGTTTGTAACAAATAGTTCTTTCCCTCTTGTCAGCGTTATATTGGACACCTACGTAAAGTGCTCCCAGCAGTGGTTGAGCGAGAGGGAAGAGCTTAGGCTACTAAGGTCTACTCCGAACCAAACGGCTCCTTTAGGAGCCATAAAATGCAATAAAAGTTATGACCAATACATATCCAACAAAGCCTAAGCATTTCTACAGCCTTTGAGATAACACTTATATATTTTATTCAAATCTCTAGCTTCATGAGGCGTAAAGAGGTGATTTAAAGCGAACTACCATGTTTTGAATCGAAGTTTTAACGCCGCGCAAAAAAATTACTTTTCTTAGCAAGCGGATGTTCAGTATTGTGAAGGTAAAGAGTAGATTGATAAAATCACACCTCTTTTGACCTCTTTCGAATTTCCCGAACGGAATTCCATTCACTAGCCGTTTATCATCCGTTCTGAAAAAAAAATGCATCCGTTCGAACGGCTTGGAAAATACATTCAGAAAAAAATCAACCCGCGTTCGAACGGCTTGTGCTATCCGTTCAGAAGAAACTTGCATGCGTTCCATCGGCTTAGGTAATCCGTTCAGAAAAATTGTCGATCCGTTCAGAAAAAGAATCGTAATCTCTTCGAACGGCTTTTGTATAAATCCGTATCACTTCTGCGCTGAAAGAGACCTGATAAAAACATTTTTTCGAGTTCACGTGTTCAACAAATTAGCATACGTTCGAACATAAATCTGATCTTGTCACATGGCGAGACATTATGACGCCGAAAAAATCATCATGTTACACAACATTCCACGCAAGACTATGGGCCTGATTACATGAGCCGGGCCGGCCCGGTTAGCCGGGCTGATTTCTTTTGTTTTCACGCTTTAGCGAACACCAAAACAAAAGAAATCAGCCCGGCTCATGTAATCAGGCCCTATTTCTCGCGATTAGACTGTTTTGAAGATTGTGGCAGGGTTTTACATAAATTTAGCACTTCCTTGGAAACAAGCCAGTTCGGCAAATGGTTACTCCAAATAAATAACAAGCAAGGACCGCGAACGAAAATGCTGCTGGTTTTCGTAGGATCAGAGATGATCTAGTAGTCAGCCAAGGGAAAAATACTCGATCCAAACCCCGCACGTAACGTTCTGCAACGGTTACGAAACTCGAAAAAGCTTCGCGGCATTAACTTTATGTGTGATGATTACAACGCGTAACCTTTTCACTCTTGTTTATAATCTTATCTACATGTCAGTTCAGTTTGGAAGCTTTTTTCAGATTTTTGTTTGGTATCGAGAGTACGGTGCCATTCGATGTTTGTTTCATTAATCTAAATTTTTATTCTGGGAAAGGTTTTGAGATTTCAAACCGGACTGTCAGCGTCACGGCAAGCAAAATTTTATCTTCGGTTCTATTGAATGTGTAATCAGGCGACGAAGGTAGTAAACTAGGGACCTATGGACATGCGTCATGACATTTGCGCCCTATTGTGCCTTCAGTGGCTGTGGATTCGAAACATCCTCGACCATTTCATTACCTTTACCTGCATAACATAATCGTCTAGTATCTTAGGATAAGGAGTCGTTATTTACACAGTCACACAATCATTGAATCACACAATCACGGAGTCACACAATCACGGAGTCACACTATCACAGAGTCACACAATCACAGAGTCACACAATCACAGCGTCACAATCACAGAGTCACAGAAAGAGATAAGAAGACATTTAAACTTTGAAGGTGTATCTATGATATAGTTATCTTCTTTTTCTAAGATATCAAATAGCAATTTACGAAGGACTTTTCCGACATACCTCGTTGACTTTTCTTTTCTTTTCCTCTTTGGAAATCGAGGATGGCAACCTGAGATTTGCTTGATAAATCAAAACCTCCTTAACTGTCAGTGTTCTGTGCATGATATCTTCCTGATGAAAAAATTGTAAAAGTTCATCGGGCACAAATAATGTGGATAGTTACAGGTTTAATTCCTTAGGGGCAAGAAACAGGAGTTTCCTTTTATTCTTGCGCTGAATCACATTCTGTTTAAGTATCATTTCAAACGCTGCATGAACAACTCTTATAGTCCCATGCATTTTATGAAATACAACTTAAATTATAATAAAATGTTTAATCGTCATGAGCACGCCAACAAGAGTGGCCACCGCCTACTTTGGAACGAAGTAAAGTTTACTAATCGAGATACACACTGGTACACAAGAAAAGTAGAGGAAGTTATCCACGCAAGGCTTAACCCTGATGACATCAACAGAGATAGCGAATCAAAATTCCTGAAGCATGGATACCAAAGATCAAGAAACACAACGGGGAATGGTACCACAGCAAACTGCCGAGGGAAAAACTTAAAGTCAGACCTCTCAGGAAACCAGAACTCACCGGAACGATTGGTATCGAAATCACATTAGATCGCTGTGATGCAAATGGAAACTCGTGAGCAATGGACCCCATCGCCTGATGAGGACCAGCACTGAGCAATCGAAACGTCGCGATCTACATCTCAAGTGACTACATCGTGAGACAATCGATTACACAGTTTATTATTACTTATCACTACGATGAGCAATGCCCTCTTTTAAGATATTAACTTGTATTTGACCTCTCTGTGGCTAAGGCTAGCAAACTTCTCCCAAATGCCGACTTGCAAACAGATTTTATGGTAATATCTACATCTACCGATGGTATGTGAAAGGAAACAGTAGCTTCTCCTTTAATTTTTCACGCAAAACTAACCTGTGGAACAAATCCAGTGATGTTTCTGAAAACACCCAAATCTCGTACAAAGTTATCGTTGATGAAGAGACCACCAGCGCGTTTCTGAAAACATAAAAAAACTGCGGTAAGCGGCCCTGAATTCTTTAAGTAGACTCTCATGCTCTCTAAGAGCATGTTGTATCAGTTCTGCATATCTCTCTTCAATCTTTCTGTCGATGAAGTAACAAGTTTATACCGCTAGTTGAACATACTAGTTATAAGTGATGATTGCACTGTCGCAACAGTAACTTTTATCAAAAAAAGATAAAGAGTACTGGTGAAGTTGCAATAGTATGGTAGTACCTAGCATTGTATCGTAAGTAGTTGTATCATTGAAAATCTATCATTGGAAACAGCAAAAATAATACGAAAAGAGGCCTAAAATAGTTAATACCGTAAGTTATCACAATACCATATTTTTTAAATGATAAAAACATTAATTTTTTCCTGGATCGGATTCGGCTGGCTGTAGGCTCCCACGGAGAACTAACCATCGAACCATCCCTCGCATTAACTACCAAAACAGGTAGACTGTTTTTTTTCGGAGACGCGCGAAACAATTGCCGCTGGAGAGAAACATATTTGAATTAAGCCCACGTGATCTATCCCTGACACCTCGAAAATAAGCGCACGTGATCGCATTCCTTCACATTGCTGAGAAACAAACGATGGCAGGCTTTTCCATAAACAAAAAAGGAAGGTCTTGTATCCGTGGTAAAAGCGAGGACGATGGCCTGATGTGTGTTAATCCATTCAATTTTAGCCGAAATGAATTATTATAGAACACTTTTAGCTGGATCATGTTGTATTACTTAACGAAAGCGGATAACCGAAGACAGACGTTAAAAGCGCGGGCAAAGAAATGTAAAAGAATGTTATCACGTACGTTTGCCTTTTCTGCTAACATCTTTTAGTCACGTGACCAAGAACAATCCTCTTTGTCGCTAACGGCAACTGTTACGCACGTCTCCGGAAAAACAGTCTAGACGTTTCGGTAGTATTATTGGCCGCTTTTCAGTATGATCCCCGTTATTACTACACCGGCTTCGGTTCATGACATCGAGAGAAAGTGAAGCCTAAATATCACCAAGAAAAGCTCTAATTTCTACAGCATCGAGGGAGTGATCACACCCTCGGACTCAAGAATGCTGAAGTAAACAATTGACACAATTCACTCGAAATTTCAGCTCGAATGATAGTACTTTTGTTATACTTCTTTCACATGGAG